ACATCAACGATCATAGATCATTATTATGTATATATACATCATAGTTTGTTAGTGTCTTTAGGTCTCTGTTTAGTGTTTGTGTCAAAGTCCAAGGTCTGCCTAAATCAAATTGGTTTTCTTCACCACATTTAAGTACTCCTCGCGTGAGACTTCGCCATCGCCGTTCAAGTCAGCCTCGTCTATCATTTCCTGTAGCTCCTCGTCGGTTAGATTCTCGCCCAGTTCGGTGGCGACACGCTTCAGATTGGCGAAGCTGATCTGGCCGGTGCGATCATCATCAAAGAAGGAGAACGCCTTTAGGCTGTCCTGGACGGCATCTTTGGCGGCCATTTTCAAGCGCATCAAGTGTAAGAAATCATTAAACGCAATCCTTCCTGTCTTATCCTTATCGATCTCATCCATCATGTTTTTGATCTCCTCCTTGTTGGGCTCGAAGCCCAATGCTCGAATGGCCACGCGCAGCTCCTTCACCTCAATGAAGCCAGTGCATTCCGTATCGAACAGATCGAAAGCCTTCTTGATGTCCTGCTTCTGCTCCAGCGACAGATCGAAGGTCGGCAGCAACTTCTTGCTCTTCGCCTTGCGCGCCTTCATCATCACCGAGCCCGACTGGATGGTGGCCGCCGAGACGGCGCTGCTCAGATTCAATTCCATGCTGAAGTCCTTTGCCTTTGTTCAAGCTAATTGTGTAGAATTTGAAACTAAACCCTTTTTTTTTTGCGTATAGCGAACTATTTAAATATTTTTTTTAAGTTTTTTCGTTTTACTGTGTATATGTTTATAATCCTCGCCGATGGAGAACTGAACGAATCTCATAATATTTCTGATAAGCTACTCTAGTCAGGCTATAGCCAGTCGCCTACTTGGAGGCGTGGCATGCTAAGTTCGAATCATAGGCCTAATGACGACTAGATATTTTAAATCTAATGTGAATCATATACAAATTATTTCAGCTTTAGCTTAACTTAAAAAGAAACGTTATACTTGTTACTACCTTAGCTAAATATCTAAAAAAAAACTGTTTCACATTAATTTGTGTTATTTCTGTTCTTTAGTTGCCAAGTAAATTGTAAAGTCTTTTTTCATTTTAAAACAAAATCCTCGAGCACAGTTTTTGTTGCTAATGCCAAACGTTGAAAGTAAAAAGAATTTCGCTCTATCTTAGCTGTTTCATAATTCAAATTTGCCCAGCAGTGAGCATAGAGGGCAGCTTTAAAGTCTAAATTCATAAGAAAGTCATTTTAAGTCTCGGCCAGTCACTTTTGTTGGCTTTTGAGCTTCCAGGAAGTTGAGCTTATCCGCCCCAGCAGCTCACGAAGTTCCTTTTTGACGTGCTGTTAGCAGCGCATCATCTTTTGAAATTTTTGTTAATATTCAAAACGTGTTTGGGATTTAGTATTCCCTTAAAGAAATTCGTAAATATGTATCAATATATTTAAAAACAATATTTTTGGAATATTTTAATTATAAATATAATTTATGAATTTATCGTAAATTTATTAAAATCAACTAATTATATGTATAATATGTATTATCATTAATTTTACGATAATACGGATTTGTTCATTTTTTTATTTTATTGTGTTGCAAATATATATAAATGCATTGAAAAAAAATTTTTTTTAATCAATAAATAATTGGAATGAGTAATTTATCCATTATTATTGTATTAATAGCAAAAGATTATTTAAATATATATAAATATATGTATATATTAGATTTCATTACTACATTTCATCATTATATATATTATTTAAATAATATAATTTTTTGCCGTTCTTTAATATATATATTTAGTTTATTAGCTACAAACATTTTTGATATTTTTGTAATTATTATTATTATTATTAGTTTTTTTTTTTTTTTTTAATATTTTCTTATTATTATTAAGCTAAACAGATATTAAGTATTATTATTATAATTATTATATATAATTATTATTATTATCAAATTATTATTACCAAAATTATTATTTTTATGTTAATGAAAATCTATTATTCCCTCATGACTATTATAACGTAATTTCATTTAATTCTCTTCATTATTAATGATTATATTATAGTTTATGTTAAGTAAAATCAGATATATTTTGTAAGTAAAAGTGGGAATCTTTAAGAAAATCTGGCCAGATTTTCTTAAAGTTTCCCACTACCATATCGTCTTCATTTATGCAAAAAATCGTATATATACATATATACACGAAATAAACTAAAAATCTTAAAAGTTTCTGTTTGGCTTTGTCTATGAACTATGCTTGCTTCCCAGCATTGTCATATTATTCTCATTTGAGAATGCAACTATACTAGACAGAAGCGGAGTAGCTCTAGCAGCAATTTATTCATAATCTATTATGAATATTTAACAAAGTGCTTGCTCAATCTGTGCACTTGTGTATAGTGTGCTGCTGCACACTGTATTAAGCACTGGCACAGCCATGTCTCTGGATAGGCAGCCGGCAGCCGGCAGCAGGCAGCAAGGTGGCACTTGGCAGTTGGCAGGTGCTATGTGTGCTCCGTGCTCAGTGCTCTGTGTCGTGTGCCATATGCCATGTGCCAGCTGCCCAAATGTCAGTCAAAGTTCTTGCTGTTGTTGGACCAAGTACGTGCCGCGAATTGTTTGCCTATCAAATTTGCCTGCAACAGGCCGTGCATATATACATACATACATATATACATACATATACACATATATATGTATATATTGAGCAAGGCCTCTCTCAGTTGGGACACGCGCAGCACGTGCCTGGCACTCGGTCTGCTCATGATTCCAATTACATAAACATAAGCATTTGCCTGCTTACCTGCGATTCGCCTGTGCCCTGGCTGCCGCCGACTCCTCCGCCGATTCCTCCGCCAATAGAAGTCAGTGATAATTTACGATTACGTTCGCGCTCCAGTCTCATGAGTATCTGTGCGTTCTGCTCACAGGTGTAGGTGTGCGTCTTGCGGCGTCGCTCCAGGCTGTACTCGTACAGCGGACGCGCTGCGTCCGGCTGCAGTTGCGCCTCGTCGCCAGCATCGCAGCTGCAGAGCGACTGATTGCTGCGGCCCTTGGCCCGCTTCAGCGAGCCACGATGCGAGCTGCTGCTGATGGATCCACCGCGTTCGCTCACATAATCCGAGAAGGTGACCACATTGTGATTGCCGTTCATGTTATTGTTCGCCTCGTAGGCATTAGCCGGCCGCAGCGCCGGCCCAACAGGTGCCACGCCCGATTTTCGCTTAGAGGGCGAGACATAGTAAATGTCATGCTCATCGAACTCTATGTTGCGCTGCTGCTGCTGCTGCTGCTGTTGGTGCAGCGCTGTGGTGGCAGTGGCTGTGCTGCTGCTGGTGGTGCTGGCCACGCTGTTGCCGCCGCTGCTCAAGCTGCAGCCGGCCAAATCGGCCAGCGAGCGCTGCAGCAGCATCGGATGTGGCACACGCTCGCCGCGCAGCGAATGCTGCTTATGCAATGATTCCAGGCGTCTCAGCTCCGTCATCTCAGTGCAAGAATCTCTCTCACTCTTTGGGCTAATATCTATATTGGGCTTGCTCTTAGTTACTCTTGCCTTTCTCTCTCTCTCTCTCTCTCTCTCTCTCTCTCTCTGTGGAGGTCTTTCTATTCCAGCTTGCTGCTGCTCATCTTGGGGCTTATTGTCATCACTTGGCTGGGCTAAGCTGCCTGAGTCATGTTATATTCATGGCCCACTCACTCGCATTAGCATAACACTTTGTCTGCCTTGACATACATATATATATGTGTGTGTGTGTGTATATATATTGTTCGCAGATTTTTTAATTTTAAATGTGCCTGGCGAACTGGCAGCTAGCTAAGCCGGCTAACGATTTCCTTATGTCAATATAGCAAATTTTCAATCGGCTTTTGCCAAACCGTCCAACCGTTTCGATTCCCTTCCAGCTTCAGCTAAGCCAGCTTCCAGTTACCAGCTGCTCCTGCTGCTCCTGCTGCTGCTCCTGCTGCTGCTCCAGTTGATGGCCCTGCTGACAGCAGTGTGTGTAGCGTCGTCTCATTGGCAGCCGCTTAGCAATTCGATTTGCCAAGGATTTCGCCTCCTCCTTCCACGCTGTCCTGCTGCGCCCTTATTCTTTCTGTTCTTTTAGGCTGTTTGCTCTGTTAATAGACTCGTCTTTCGCACTGGCTGCGCTTCTAATAACTGCAAAAAAACAGAGAGAAGCGAAATTTGTTGTCTGCTTTAGAATTGAGTGGCAGAATAAATGTTTGTTGTATTCCTTTCGGATTTTCATTGTGTGCCTTATGGCAGTACAAACAGGATAAACTCAAGTGTGTGTAACATGTGTGCATGTGTGTGTGTGTGTGTGGGTGGGTGGGTGGTTGTGTTTATTTATATATTTTTTCTCGCCTAATTGGTTTTTGGTTACGCTTAAGCCGTTAATTTGCAATGAAATTAAATCTTTAGCTTTCAGTGAAGTCTTCGGATTTTGTATAAAGAAACAGAAAAATATATAAATAGAAGAGAATAATTGATTGTAATTTGACTCAGATGATGGATTACCAATCTAATATCTCAGAGTATGCTTTTAAGAAATGTTTAATACACGAGAGATATATTTTAGAATTAAATATGTTTTATATGAATTAAGAGAATGAATTATAATTGGAACTCGGCGTAAATTTAATTGAAATATTTTATTTAATTGAAATATTTTACTATTTAAAAAACCAGACATATTTTAAGTTTAACTTTATAATAATTTTATACTATAATTGTCTAAGCAAAATTTCATTTTATAAAGAAGTTACCGAAAGTTCATTCAAAATATTTTGTTTATAGAATCATAAAAATATTTGTTCAAAATTCAAACTTTTCTAAAGTTTTAGCCAAGCTTTTCTTGCGAATTCTTGCAAGTGCTATAATCGGCAAATACTTTACAAAATTGCTAACACACTCACACATATACATATATACATGCACTTGAGCTAAACTGTTGTCAACTATTTGAACTGCGCCCGTAAAAACTTGACGCTTTGCAACACTGCAAAAGAATTAACTCATTACATGCGCTCATTAAGCTATAGCTAAAGTTGATTAAGGCCTTGAAAAAACTTTTTGTTCCGGAATGTCGCAGCGCCTGTCAGGAAGGAGTGGGGAGGGGGGCGTGGCTGGCGACAGTTAAGACAGACACAAGTCTGACAACTTGAAGTGCCACTCGAAATATGCCCAAGACAAAATGTTTGTTGCTGTCGTCGGGCGGAAAGTAAAAGTTGCCGTGGCAAACTTCTTAAAAATACTTAAGAGGCGATAAATATCGCAAAGCGCATACACATACATATACGTATATAAATATTTATATATATTTATATATAATGGCACATGCACACCCACACATGATACGCTCAGGGGCTGGCAAATGTTTTGACTCTTCAAACTTTTGCTCAAGTTGCCTATTTGTTACACTTCATGTTGTTTGCTTGTCGCTGTGGTTGTTCCTTGATCGGGGGGCGTTCGGCTGCCTGTCTGCCTGGCTGCTTGCCACGCCCACACTCGATACGACAAATTTGGCATTGTTTTTGTTGCTCCATTGCTCCATTGCCCCTCTGTGTATTATATTTTAACGTTATTATTATGCTGCACAAAGTTGCCAATTTTGTTACTGGCCTTAAGCAAATTCCTTTAGATTTTCCCATTCAACGTTTACAGCCTAGGCAGCTGCCTCAATTATATATATTCGAAATGGTTGTTGTCTTGTTGCTGTTGTTGTTGTTGCTTATTAAAAACTTGCTAACGTTTGTGCAAAATGCTTTGCCATCAAATGCTGCAAATGTTTGCCTCAGCAAATGGCGTCTCAATTTTTGCTTTCAAATCATGGCTAGAAAAAGTCAGAAAGTTGTTGCAGGCTGTAACTGACTGCGCAATACTCTGTTTGCAGCATGAGAATGGCATGTGAATGGGTGAAGATATATTCCATAATTTGGGTGGCAATCTGTTTAACTATGAGTGTGGGAAAGGATATATAGGAATATATATAGTTTTTTTTGTGCTGTGACTCTGGGCTTTAAGACTTCATCTAGTCTCTTGGCTCTAGGCTCTAGGCTCTAGGCTCTAGGCTCTAGGCTCTAGGCTCTAGGCTCT